GCGACCACCGAGACTCTTTGATTTACTTCGGGGTCTCTGCGTTTCTATCTACCATCTCGACCGCAGATTGATGATTATTACGTGGACCTTTTTTGCCTAACGGAACGTTGTTATTCCGTTGCAGGAAGTGGGTGTGGAAATTGCGCCGCGGCGCGTTATTGAATTTTGAGGGAAACGCGCGGAAATTGATGCTTCGGAAATTGATGTGTTGCTGCCTTGTCAGGGAGGAGGATGGGCGTTTTCGTTGGTTGTTTTTGGTGTCGGCCGAACGAGGATGGCGGACGGGTTACCGTTGGATGGTCAGGAAAAGGCAGATTTCGTTTGATTGTTTTTGTAACGCGATAAGTGCCGGTTGCTCGGGGGTTGAAATCAATCAAACCATCATCTGTTATAATTCAAGCGTGCGAGGAATCATGGTTGTTGGAGGACGTTCCGAGGGAGGTAATTATTTTCGATTATGGGAAACTTAGCGATTAGGTTGTTGAGGCGATGTTACTTCATTTTGTAAGGATATTTTGTTTTTGAGGGAGGAAAGTTATAGTGATGAGCTGCGCGGACTGTTTTATGGGAGTATCGAATATGTTATTTCGATGTCGGCAGCGAACCTTGAATATACAATATGAAGTTCGATATTACTTCATAGGAATTTATGATATTGAATCGGGCAACAAGTTTTATATCACTTTCGACGTCCTAAACTTTCAGCAGCCTTGAAACTTCATCCGCCTAATGCTCGCATCCATCAATCATCTAAATTCTCTTGAACCACTCTGTAAAGCCGACATTGACTGCTATTGAAACTTCCTCGGTTTTCTTTTTTATATGTCTACAAAAAAGAGTGAAAATACGTGAATTTTATGATCAGACAAAAACACTATAGATGCAATTTTCTTAATTCAAAAACAGTCATCTCATAAACTAAATTTTCTATTATTCACTATTAATTCTGCAACTCCAGTCAATTCGTAAACCCAATTTGTATATAAAGAAATATAAATAAACCAAATAGAAAGAAGTCTTAGAAATTACTCAACAATATTCCACAATTAATTCAAATTAAACAAAAATTCAGTATCCAATACCATCTCGAAAGAAATAACAAATATTCCCCTACACCAACCCTTCCACCGATGAATTCCTATTAAACCCTTTACACTCGAGAGGTGACTCTCAGTCACCACTTGATTTGATACAGCAAAATTATAAACTCTTATATATAATAATTAAGCTTTTCATAATACATCAATACATCAAATACTCAAACAAAATAACGTTCCTTCTCAATATATGTATATTTTCTCACAAATTAATCTCAAAGAACATCGTCTGGATCTCATCAGAGAATGTTGAATATTCCTAACAAAAAAACTCCCGAATGCAAACGGTTAATATTCCACGTTCTAAAATAATCTCAACCAAATATGCATTTTAATCAACGTACCTTTCCCTAAGTGACAACATTTCATCTCAAAGAAGAATCAAGTTAATTATATTCTCCTAATATAACTCCAACCAACCGCAGACACAGCCCTGTCGATACCGTGTCTAAATACGGGCGTAGAAATTAATTGGCCAATTATTCCCGAATTCTGGACCAGTGTGGAACGATGTCAAAGGTCCGCCTGACCGGTTCCCGGCTCGTTACGCGTATCAGGCGGGCGGGGCGGGCGTTGGCTGCGCCAACAGATTCAAAGACGACGTAATTGCATCTCGTGCGCAATATACGCTACTTACGTATCTCTTAATTAATTCGTGCCTCGCCCCGCCCGGTAATTATTTCCATATCGCCAGACACGTACCCCCGTGACCCTCCTCCGTTGGCTGGCTGCGTCGCCTCCGACGACTACGTCGTCGACGACCACGACGTCGACGACGCGCGGAACCGCGACGGCCCTGGGTAGAGAGCTGCGGCCGGGCACCGCGTGTCGGGAATATCGAGCATTTCCAACCTCGGCCCGCGTGTGCATCGTCTCGTATCCACCTCCGACCCCCGCGTTTTATTCGTAATTAATTACGCGGCAACGAGATACAGGACCGAGTCGCGAGGAAAGAGGAATGCTTATCGCCGCGTAACAATTAACCCTCCGCCGGAAATATGGACCATTAAAGGACTGTCGAAAATCTCGTTTTTTTCCACGATCTTAACGCTGATACTACCGAGCGGTTCGAATTGATTCACTTCAGAATGGGTTCGCAAGTGTTTAAATCGTGAAGGTGATTTTACGGAAGATTTTCAATTAACGTTAATCATACCGGCACTTGTCCTACCGTAACTAGCGATACTAATATATTTAATAAAACATAACTAATACATTTTTCTTAGTGGAGATAGAAACGAACGGAAGGATGAAAATTGAGAGACCAATCGGACAATATAGGAATTGATATAGAATTAAATGAACAAAAGAAGACGGAAAATTTTAAATCTCGTCATTTGATCGGTTGGTGAGATTAGTGTTAACAGTAGAACTACCGAATCAGTTAAAATGACCGGTTTCGATTTGTTTGTTTCGTGATTATTGATATCTTGAGAGCATTGAGTATTCGAAATGATCTTGACAATGAGTAGTTTCAATCGAATACTATGAGGAATGTCTGAGGAAATCAAAGATAGACTATTGTTAGAATTTTTATAGGGATGCTCTATAGATAGATAAATGATGTAGTTTTAATGTCGAATTTGTGTGTTTGCATAGATACAAGACTAGGAGACACTTCGAATCGGAAGAAATGTAGTGTTCTAGTTTTTATAAAAAGATCGCCAATAGGTCATTCTAGTTGCTCGGTAGTTTTAGTGTTAACGTGACTTTTGATTTTTATGAAGATTTCGTTAAAGTGTTGGCTGTAGGTTAGCTTGGGAAGTGTAATAAGTAGGTTAGGATTTGTTTAGTTTTTACAGAATTCGCAACGATGAAGAACCTGGTTTAAAAGATTTCATATTGTCGGTCACGTTTATGGAAAATTGTAGTGTCAGCGAAGAGTTAAATTTAGAAGGCTGCTTTAGGATTGAGACGATGGAGGATTTTTGGTGAATTGAGATTAGGGTGTGAGTTCTTTGTTTTAGAAAGATCTTTGGAGTAGGGAGATCTTTTTTCTGAGGCATTGATTTTTGGGGTTGATGTGGGGGGATATGAAATATTCGTGTAATATTTGAATTGTGCATTAATTACTGTGTCTAGAGTACAGTGGTCTTAATATTTTAAAATCTTAATTTTATAATATTGTTAGTTTGTTCTAATTCCTTTTTCCCTTTAATTATTACTATATAACTTATTATTGATATTTTTGTTAGTGAAATCTGTTGTGTTCCTTTCTCGAAACATGATCTGTGGGATTAAAAGTAGAAAGATGTCCCGAAGGTACTTTACAGTACCAAATATTCATTTTTAATTAAATTTAATTTTAAACAACAATTTTCATTTTATATTATCCGTGTCCGTGTGTCTAAAACAAATTTTGAAACACTGTTTCATTATCCAGTGCATTTCTGAATTTAGAAACTGTCTCTTACAGCGTGTCAACAGAATCCGTGTCAACCGATTCAACGTAACTAGTTATAAGCAAGAAAATCTCCAAAGAAATCTAAGATCCTAATCATTCGGTTTGCCTTCCTAACACATGGGAATCATAAAAAAGAAAATCATTCGACAACAGAATCGACCTTAACAAGGCCATTACCGATATCCCCTTAACGAGGCAATCTCTCTGTTCTCGATTACCGTAGTCGCGAGCATACTTCCTACATTGTAAAACTTCTTTACTTTACTTTAGATAAGAAACTCCATCTCGAGTCGTGCTTCCATTAGTATTACTCGGTACGTAAAGCATGAGTATCTGTTTATACAGAGTGTTTCATGATAAGTGGGTAACAGATTCGAAATCCAGGGGACATAAATGATATTCATTCGAGTGTCGATATTACAAATTCAATTGACGAGAATTTCCCGGATTTCCCGTTTCACCGATGAACAAGTAACTCGTATACACATGTTTGCAGGAACAACGCTGCGTTTCGATCCGAGCCGCGTGTACAGGTCCGAAGCGCACATTTTCTGAAAGATAATTCGGCTCGGGATCGTCTCCGGTCGGTCATAACACATTCAATCGTCGTTTATTCACGGAATACAGATAATCGTCGGTCTCTTCGGCATCATATATACATATTAAGCGTTACGTTGAACGACAAACGGTCGTTCACCTCGTCCACGCTGACGCGGGGAGGATCGTGAATTAGAAACTGGCTGGAAAATCATTCTACGGGTCCTTCTAGTATCACAATCCATTTAATTCACAGTCACATTCCGCCGGCCACACCTTGGACAAGCTCACGAGGATCGGGAACCTCTCACGGGTGGGTAATGTAATATTTACATTTCAATTACGCTAATACCGTCCTAGGGACGGCCGAAATCGAATATCGCAATCAGTTAATTAAATCGTCCTAGGAATTGCTTTTGATCCCCATCGATCGGAGAAGCTTTCGACGCGGTGACGTCACTGGGACGAAACGCCGTTTTAATAACGGCCCGAGCGGTGACGGTTCCCGTTCAGTTTGCCGTTGGCCGATCGACGATTTCGTATATGCAAATTGCTCCTGAAATAAACCACACTTATTCAAATAGAAATCAAACGTCCGTGCCGATTTTATATAGCACGCGACACGTGCGCGTGAGATCCATTTAAGAGATCACGTATGTAAAGGAACGATCGATGAGAGGTTACGTTTAGGAATTCTCGTGTAGAAATTTACATTTTATTAACTGATTTTTATCACCATTCGCCGATGAGATATCTCATTATAATTAATTTCTAGGGACTATTAAAAAATGTCCGATAACGGCGAAGATCTGTACGAAACGAATTTTTGAAAATGGCGTAAGGTTACACGAGAAATGGGCATTCGAGCAGAAAAATGCAAGTTTCATTATAAAAATCGTGCGTCCTCTGTTTAAAGAAAATTATAACAGTTTCGAGCTTCGAATTGTTATTTATACTCTAATATGATCATTCCGTTTGTCGGACAGAATGTTTCTTCATTTGACGAATTCGTTATAGAAACGGGTTTTTCAGAGATCGATATCTTCCAGCTAAGTAAACACAATTACTCAGGCATAATTACCTTCTTTTCTTCTCCGACGATCCATCGGCGATAAACAAGCGAACAACTCGCATGCCACATAGATCAGCGCGATCCATGTACCGCGTATACAATGCGAGAACCGTCGCGAAGGAATAAAAGAATCGCTACAGCGGTTGTGGCTCGCGTCCAACAAAACGGAAGTTCCTAAGCGGTGCAGTTGTGTCATAACGTGTAATGCAAAGTCGAACGGCTCGGACAACGTTCGTCCGTGGTTTCCCGTGGCGCGCACGCTGTACGGATCCATTCCGATTTTTATATAGATCGGTCCGAGCCCGGGTTACGTAACATCGGTAACGACGCATTCCCGAGATTGACGTAGGCAAACTGTCACCGCTCCCCGCAGTCTGCGACATTTGTCTTCTTCTCATGTATTTTTCACGCTGATTCATTAAACGGAAGTGTGCGTTCAACGCGGCCGTCGGCCGATTTATTTAAACAACGCGTCGGCGACGCGTTCTATTTACGATCCCATTCTTTTCGAACGGGGAATATATTTCCTCCGGCGTCCGAGCGGTCTTTAACACATATTCTCATGTGAACTTGTTGCTCCTTACCATCGCACGGAGCAAATAAATTCTTCTTTTCTCTTTTTATTGGCAATATCCTTGTCCAGGCATAGGTAATGCCTGTCGTAACTTTCAATGAAAATTCTTAGAATCATTCAGGAATCGTAATACTACTACAGGATATCGTTTGTACTATTCGTCTTCTTGACTCTTCGTCTAACCGTCTCTTTGCGAATCTGTTTCGATCGGAAGATAGTATTTACATGTTTGCCCTGGATTAAGACATGGTCTCGCCTCGCTCGGTCTCCATTGACGAAAACTTCGCCACTGAACTCTGTTCTTTGAAGTATCCCCCTCAATATCATCTTCGATCCAGGATCCACGTACATCGCAATCGCCATCTTCACATCTTGAAGGTCTTCCATCAAAATCCCACGAAATCGTCCCCAACAACTCGAATCCTCCAAACTCTACAATCTCTACAGCTTCTTTCCCCTGCAGCCTTCCTTCCTTCTTCCCCCTTCAAAATCCCAGTAGAATCATCCTCGAAAATTCGAATCCTCCGAACTCTACAATCCCCGCAACCTCTATCCTCTACGACCATCCTTTCGTCTTCCTCCTTAAAAGTCCCACTAGAATCATCCCGAAAAACTCGTATCCCCTAAGTTCGACTGCGCGGGTCGGAGCATCAGCCGTGTTGAAAAAGTGAATGAAAGGGAAATCCGTCGATCAATTGCTGACGGATCGGCTGGCGCTCTCGAGCGAGCCTCGCCTCGCGTTCTCGGCCCTCATTACGACGCCGAGGCCGATACCATAATGCTCGTAAGGGTCCTTGCCATAGGCGACCGGTTCTTCGGCCCGCTGATTGTTCCTGTGCCTAGGCGGAGTCGAGGTCCTCGCGGGGGTGTTAGTGGGGCTGTTCTTCGGGGTCAAGATCCTCGCCGGCGTGGAGGTCGGGCTGTTCTTGGCCGTCGTCGTGGGCAGATTCGTGGTCGAACCGGTCTTCGGATTAGCGGAGTCGCCGGCCGGCACCGGATTCATCCCCTGCAACGCGTTGAAGCTCTGCATGACGAGATGAGAGGCGACCGACATCGTCAGCGGATTCGCCGCGGGCACCGTCCCGGCCGCGGATTTCTCGTTTCTGGCTACCGGCGGAGCGTTACTCAATTGATTCTCCACTCGAGCCGCCGCCGCCGCTGCGGATTGATTTTCTACTCGAGACATTGATTGGACCGCGGATCGATTCGACCTCTCGGCCCGCGACGATTGGCCGTCAGTCGCCGGCGCCGGTGACCTCTCGGTTTCGCGGGCCAACGGCAAAGTCGGCTTGTCCGTCTGCGACTGGCTCCTCTTTGAAGAATCCGTGCGGCTGCCGTTCAGCAGCGGCGTTCCAGGCGCCGAAAACGCGGCCTGCGGCCGATGCTTCCTGCTGGGGATCTGCGGGCTCCTAGGGTAACTCCGGTCGACCTGCGCGCCGTTGCGAATCCTGGAATCCTGCGCGTCGCTATTTTCCATGTCCACGTTGGAGCCGAAGACTCCGCTGGTCGTGGCCACCAGGGGATCGTCTCGAGAATTATTGGCGCCGTTCGAACGTGATTTATCGCTGTTCGCGCCGTTCACGGGCATGGATGACTCTTCTGTCGCATTGGAATTTATCCTCTGGGGCAGAGCCGAGGACACCGAGGCGGTGCCGTTAGTCCCGTTCTTGAGGATCGCCAGACTGGGGTCGCCATTCGGGAAGCTAGCGAAACGGGCGATGGTCTCGCGTTCCTCGGCCACTTGCGGCGCGAACGGAATCTTCCTCTCGGTTGGCTTGATAAGCTGCCTCTTCCTCGCCGCTGATGTCGACGCGCTGGCTTTCACCTTCTGCCTTTTGGTGTCGCCCGTTTTCACCCGGGTCTCCGGAAAATGCCTGCCTTTCATCGAACTAGGCTCTTCGTCTTCTTCCTCGTAGATTCTGATGTCCTCGTTCAAATCGGAATCATCCTCCTCGTATTCCTCGACTATCGCGCTAGCTTGGATCCATTCTCTGATCCGATCCTTCTTCTTCGATCTGTCTACCGTTGTCTCCACGCCGTACGTGGTTAGCGTGTGCAAAAGTTGATTCTTCTCCTCGAGGGAACTATGGAAGCTGTACATCGAAGGGCACAGCTCGTCTCTCTCGTCAACACCACCTGTGCAAACCGGGGGCCAACGGAGTTAATACTTCGGAAGGGAAGTATGGGTATTTTAATTTCGGCGGATCGTTACCGTTCATCGCCTTCTCGGCGCCCAGCTTCGCCAGCCAGCGGTCCTCCACGTATTTGTTCACCTCCAACACGCTCGCGGGCCTCTTCTCAGCTTTCGGGTCCAGCAGGCGCTTGAACATCCTGGGGAATGTTGATGAAGTGCTCGTTATGTCGATGTACGTTCTTTTTTTTTCAAGGGTTATGGGCGTTCGTAAAAAGTTAACGAATATTGAAATTCATTATGGAAAATGGGCATGGGATTGCATATGCATTTAAAGCTAATTTGAAGGGCTTACGTTTGGTTATATTGTAGTCGTATTTTACGGAACTCCTTTTTTTCGGAGAAACGTATGTTTGTATAAATTAAGCATGGAAATTTCAGTATTTTTAGGTCGTAACGGTTGTACCGAGGTTGATTGTTCGTGGCGATGATGTTTCTTTAAAGGAAGCTGTAGGTATTATTCTAAAGACGAATGGCGGCTAACAAATTTACAGAAATAACTTTCTTCCCTTTTATTACGAGTTTCCGTGGACGAACAGGCCCCGAACGCGCCCAGCGATACGGTCTTCTTCTGGGACAATAAACTATTCAACGCGTGCCGCTGCATCCGCGACCGTCATCGCGGTTATTTCGAAAATAAACCGAGGCTAAAAGCATCTCCACGGATTCCGGTTTACGTCCTCCCAGATAATTTGCCCGTCTGATTATTTTGACGAGGGGCATCAATCCCCCTTTTTATTAACATCGACAAATTCAATACGCGCCCGCGCGGGTATCGATCAATTTCGTGCCCGTAACCCGTTCGGTTCGGCTCGATCGCAACACGGCGAGCCAAACGGTTCATTTCACGAGCTTATGAAGTACTTGGTATCATTCAGCTGTTCTCGAAACTTTTAATGGCCACGTTCGAGCGTTCTCGTAAGTGGACCGTGGATTTTATGCGTTTATAACACATGCGAACAGGCGCGCAAAACAGTGCAATAAAAACCGTGGCGAAGATTAATGAGATTTTTGCATCATAATCGCACCGACAGAATTTCGATCCGGCCATCATCGAGCCGTGCTTCATTTTTATTCCGCCGTTGTAATTCGTAAATATCTGTTACGTATATTTACGCTCATTTCTAACTATGAACTGAATGGTTCCAATAAACAAAATCGATTCAATGAGACGCGTTAGTACTAAAATTTTAATAGACCAATTTCGAAGATCAAGGATAGCGAATTTTCACCCATGAAGTACGTGTTTTAATCAAATTTTAAGATTACTTAGAATATCCTGGATCCCACCGATATTCGCGTTGATTGAACGGTGAAAAATCACTCGTATTAACTGACTAATCAATATTTCCGGCGGCTCGGCTTCGAGATAAGATAGGAGTCATTAAAGTTTCGTGAACGCTGGCGCCTGGTTCGTGTCACACATTCGACGAAACTGACCTCTGCGCCCGCGAGCTGATCAGCTGAAATAATTTCGGTTTCTTGGCTATGTTCAGCGTCGCGTTGTGCCAGTTTTGATATCTGGTGTACCGCGGGTCGTCCAACGCCGCCTTCTGCCACGGCAGGCATCCGGTCAGACAGACAAATAGGACAATGCCGAATTGCCAGACGTCGTGCGATGTGAGCGCTCTGAAATCGTGAAACGTAATACACTGTAGAAGTCGCCCGTGTTAATGTCATTCACGTTCCCCGGCACGAATCATTCTCATAACTCGCGCGGCCGCCCGGCTTGGTCAATGCTTTTCATTGAGAGAGTCATTTAAATGCGAAACCATCGAAACGAAACTCTCTCCGTCTTTTGAAATTTTCATTGGCTTATGGCATTCTTGGCTTCAAGGTTGCATCGGAGGTTTATACTTATAATTAGACTGCGTGTTTTATGCATTCCTTTCGTTTGATTTTCGGAGATTTAGTTGTGAAGTTTTGTATAAAGTTGCTTAATATTTTAGCATAAAATTTAATGTAAGAAGGTTCTGTGTATTTTGAGCTGGTTTTCGTTTCATTTATTTATAATATAATATGGAATCAACTTGAATTGATTTGTGAATGTTTATATTTGCATAAACAGTCGCAATCTATTCATAATAAAACCTTTGAATCAGATGAAACTATTGTTTCGTCATGTACGAGACTCGATTTAGGGTTGGATTCAGAAAAAATGAGATTACCATTTTTATTGATCCAAAGTAAATGATCAAAAATTGAAGGGACCTCTATTTTTTACTGGAGCAAACATTTCAAAGTGAAAGGAAACCGCTCAGTCGCGATTTTAAACGAAAATTGCGATCGTGCTTCGTAATTTATGCGCAGCGAACTTTCCTCAGATAGGAAACTGTTTTAAAACTGAAGGGCACTCAAAATTTATGAACAGCCGCGCAAGTATATGTAACATAAATTCTACCAGGAGGAACTAACCGTCTCATAAGCAGTGCGCGACTGTTAATGTCTTATGAGGGACTGCAGAACTGCATAATTCGAGAGCCGGACGCTTAAGTATTAAATCCACCCCTAAAGTGGTCTCACATATTACAGGATATCCTTTATGCCCTGTAATACGATTCTCAAAGCTTTAAATAAACTTTAATCACTGTTACCCATTCATCCTTTCGAAATAAAACCAATCGATCCCATAAATGCGCATAAAACAAAGAAAACATACGACGCGAGATGAACCTCGATTCTCGTGGAAACATCGTAAACTATCCGGAACGAAGGTAAATTCGATACGTTATAATCTAGAAAACATATCGCTGGATTCCGATTTACTAAAGATCGCCAGATTATACCGTAACTTACAATCTATTAAACAACGCTAGATCTAATATCATTACATGCTTGTATAACTAGAAAATATCACCTTAGAAATATTATTAGAGATCCGACAGATGTTTACTAGATCACGTATCAAATTATAACCCAACGATACTCGCTGGATTATAAATATAATCGGGATATTGTTAAGAGCCGCGGTAATTACTGGTAATGGTCAATCGTATAATTACTTGTACGTCTCGTCAGTGTCGATCTGCAATACCTCGGGCGGCGAGTATGGCAGCCACTCGTTGTGTCGGCGCACCACGGTGTTCACACGCCTGGTCTCGCCGAAATCGCAGAGCTTGATCCGCGAGAAGTCGCTACGGAACACGAGCACGTTGTCGAGCTTGATGTCACGGTGCACCAATTCGCGGCTGTGAATGTGATGCACCGCCGCGGCCAGCTGTCTGGCTACCCTCTTCGCGTGCAGCTCGCCTAAACCCGTCTCTGTCACGTTGGACGTTAGATCTCCTGAAAAATGGACGATCGCGAGTGATATTAATGACTCTCGGGTTCTTCCACTGTAGCCGGGGCTTTTTAATCTGGTCAGGCACGGGGACAAGAATTCCACGCGTCTGAGCGACTTTTGTTAAGTGAAAGGTCTGTCTGCGTGAGACGAATGGATTATTTAATACCATTTATTTATTGTTTCCTGTTATAGACTGGTGGAACGAAGACTGGACTATTGTAATAAATATATTAGACAGATCTTACAATTAATTTCACGGTTAATACCTTAACAAAATTTTATCCGTAGGGTTAAAATAAAATAAACAGTAAGATAAGGGTGATCTCTGACTGAAAACGTTAATTCACTCACGAATACCTAACTTCGTTATTGTTTACTTCATAATATACATTCTCTAACGTCTATTAAAACGTACAAAATATTTCTACAATTCATTCCTTTGACATTCATTAATCACTCGATACAAAACGACCTCAAATCAGTTACAAACTACAGCCCACAAAGATTCCATTTCACCCTCCTACTTCGATATTCTACACATAACTTCACCAAACCGAATCTCCAATCTTCGCCACAAGTTCAACCCGGCGAGGCAACGTGTTAAGGCGAAGCTGAAACAACCCAAACCACTGAACACATCCACAAACAAATCCCGTTCTCACCGAGCGGAGCGTACTCCTGGCTGAACACGTAGAACCCTGCGGTCTCGAACGCCACGTCGTAGGTGGTGATGATGTTCCTGTGCGCCGCCAGGTGCAGCCCGTAATGAAACTCGCGGAAGAAGTCCGTGATCCCGGTGTACGCCTTCGGCAGCGCCTTCAGCACCATCTCGGTCTGGGTGCTGCGATGCTCGGTCAGCAGGATCTTGCCGAACCATCCCTCGCCGACGATTTGCAGTATATCAAACTCGTCGATCAAATTCACCTGTTCAGGGAAGACAGTTTTGCGGTTCAGCCGCGCGCTGACGGGTCTAGCGCGCGGCTGAGCCCCGCGGAACAGCTGCAAACTCCCCCCTCCCCCGAGGAATCGATTTGGATCGCGGCTCGAAAGGGGCGGCGGGGACGACGGCGAAACACACGTGCACCTCGTGGTACGTCGCGACCGTCTATTTTTAATTCCACTCACGATCGCGATTCGGCTTGTCCGACACGTCTCGATCCGGACGCGACGAAAAGATCGACGGATAACGGCTGCCAGTGGCCGGCGATGATTTATACGGGGGTGGCTCTCGGAAACGCCGGAGTCGGCGGACGTTTTTCCGCGCGCGTGTCGCCAGACCGATCTCGCTGATTCGATGCATAATTTAACGCGACGGACAAATGCGCCCCTGCGGGAACCCGGTTTTCTGGGACCACGGGGGTGAACGGCGGCTCGCCGAGACGCGACGGGACTGCCAATCGACGGAAGTTCCCGGGAACTTCGGTACAGTTTCGCCGTCGAGTGTTTTTGTCTTCGGGAGTCTGTGTGTTATGTCGAGGAGGCGAAGTCGATTGAATTTCGTGGGAAGTTCGGTGTGATACTTTAAGTTCGCCGGGTAAGTGCAGCCAAATATGCGAGAGTTTGCTTATGGTTGTTTGAAGGGAACGTGTTGTTAGCTTCGGGAGTTATTGGGATTATATAAGACAGTTTAGTGGAAGGGGTTTCGATCGTTAGGCATCGAAGAGAATTCTTTGAGGTGTTATGAAATGGAGTTTGTTAAGAGTAACTTTGAGGACTTTGGGTTTTCATTATTTCTTCTCAGGAGGTAGATATATTAAGAATACTTTGGAGAAATACTTCAGTATTGTGGAATAATGTTATCAATACATAATGACGACTTGTGTTAATAATATCTTGAAGATATAACAATATTCTTCTCTACGGCAAGATGAAAATAGACCTAGATCGTTCAATTTTATGATTTTAAACACGCCCACTTTACTGGAGACAAATACAGCTTGAAAAGGGACATGTATCCCATGTCCTACTACCAGAATCACAAAGCTACTGCAACCAAAGATAGTTTGACTCCTAGGAGCCAGCTATACATCATTAAATAATAGCTCTCCTGGACATATTCAAATCCTCAGACCCAGGTCCCAGCGCAGCTGCATCTGGAGGCACGCAGAGTGCCGCGAATCGAAGTCAGAAAATTGGCGTGAAAGGGTTAGCGGTGACAACGTTGTCCCCGATTTTCCGAAGGCTTTCGAAATCCCTCGAGGAGAACAGGATTTACACCGCCTGTCCTTTGGAACAATGGGAACACACAATCCGGCCAGAGGATTGCTTTATTACACGCTGCTCGGCCGCAAACTGGCTCCTCATATAACTCGGCTGAAGTGTTAAAGGTTACAATCGCATCGCGGCATTGTCATAAAGTGGGCATCGGGCGAAAGTTGGTTTAGTGCCAGGGAGGAGGAGGATTGCCCCGTCGCGCTCTCGGTTCCCCGATGTAAATGTTCCACGTACGATCACTATTTCGGGATCTCGGCGACCCGAAGGCTGGAAACCCGGCTCGTCAGTTAACCGCGCTCCGTTATTTATCCGTCGGCGAACAATTTAAGGATCTATAACCCGAAGAAAGACGGCCACACGATACAATTTTCGACGATCGATCGAACGTTCCAGAGATTCATTTCGATCGCCTTTCAGCCCGGTGATTCATTGGACGGAGGAAAAACGGCGACCACATGTGCGAAACGCTGCGCGAGGGATCCCCTTTGTTGAAGCTTGCTTTTGTTCGTCCGCGTTGAAGTTTCTTTAGACGCTTAAAGTATCTAGACTATGGACGTTCACGAGAATTCATGTTTTTGTTACGAGGAATCTTAACTTCGAGATAAAATAGAATTCGTGCTTTGTACAAACAGTCTCTGTTGCGGAGCGACGCTAAAAGCAACGGGAATTTATTGAAGTTATTATTCCACCTTGTTTTGTAGATAATTCGAGATAAACGAATATAGAGAAAGTTCCGCGGTCAGTAAAATTTTTAACTTTGAAAGACAATAAAATTGTGGAAGTTTTTTTTATGAATTACTCAAGATGCTCGGGGCAGTTGATTTTTCTATAATTTCCAATGAACTTTCTTTGCTTCCTCCATCTGTACGTTAATGAGGAGAAATTATTTAAATTGATTAATATCGATAGAAACTCTTACCTTTAACGTGAACGGTACTCTAAAAGTAAAAAGGCGAAATATCCCCGGAATGAAAAAATAATCGTCTAACCTGGCGCGGCAGCTGACTTTTATCGAATTCATTTGATCAGGCCAATCAAAAGAATTGTGTTACGGGCAGGCAGACGAGAGGGCAAATGAACGATCGGGCGATAAAATGGCGGTCGTATGGCGAAGATACGATTCGGAATTGAGTTACCTTCTCGAGCTCGAACTCTCGTATCCTGTGAATGGAGCCGCCGATGGCTTTCTTCATTAAGCTCATTCTGACGGCCGGTCGTCGATCCTGTGCCACGGGCTCGAATAGAAGCCAAAAGTCGGGATGGCGTTTAACAATCCGGTGTGGTTGACGCTGGGACCGCGAGGCTCACATTCTGTCATTTCGCGGTGAACGCTTCGACGAACTCTGCGCTGAACAGAATGAAAGAGCGTCAATGGTTCCATTACATTGATCCAGCAATTCCATTAATAGAACCGAACGATAAATATCTTTCCATAGGCTTCACTCGGAACGCGGAAATCATGAAACTGTGTAAAGAATATATTATTAATTAACTTTGTAACAATTTATAACAGTTATTTTATAATAAACTGTTGCGTTGTGAAGTATTTGATGAAAACAGAATTATTTAATATATTTCTGGAGTTGGAGCGAAGCGAATGATTCTTCTTTTACTGACGATTCAAGTTTCATTGAAAATTAACTGTGAAGTATAAACGAACCTGGTGAATTATTTTTATAAAAATTCGTGAAATTTTATTTAGACAATCAATTAGCAAACTACAATAAAAAATCTAAAGATTAAAAGCTTTCAACATTGTAACGATGACTTGTCAAATCATTCAGAACTGGAATTCTACAAAATTACAAATGCTACTCCCAAGAAATGAAAATATCACTCAGCAACCACACTCCTTAAAACAAAGATTCTAAAGTATAATCGTACAAAGAATTGAGATGCTATCGGATACAAAATTCCCCGAAAGAATATATCAACCCTTACATTCCGTTTCGCAAAGCAAATACCGCTGATGTGCCAAAGCACGCGACCCGTCGCTGTCGAATACCAGAATTTCGGCGCGGGCATAATGCGGCACCGCGGCGTCGTTTCCTAACAACAAAGATCCAACCGGGAATTAAAGCGCTTGCCAAGGCGCGAGTCGTCCGCGATGGGGGCAAAGTTTGCCGAAAAGCCACTTAAACCGCGATCACGTGCGCGCACGCTTCCGCAAAGCGCGGAGTAAGTTTCGGATAATGCGTCCTTTGTGCCGCGTCTGGGGGAGGTAACGACGCGTTCTCGCGGAGCTGCAAAGCTTATAAGCACCTCGAGTCGCGCTGTCGCCGTGTTCCGCGAACGAATGGCGGAAAAAAACGTTTGGCAAATGACGCCGCTCTCGAAGAAAATGGGGTGGCACCTACGGGGGTGGCAGCGTGGAACAGCTACTCCGGCCAGGTGTAGGCAAGATACGCCGTGGCTCTGCGATATCTCGTCGCCGGCTCGTGAAAAGAATCGGTCCCGACGTTTGATGTTCGGCTACTTCCGATGGGGAACGCGGTTCCGCGACGAAACATGCCAGGCCGCATGAAACATTCATGCGGGTGCAGAGTCGAGATGGGAAAAGCATCTCGATACGAGTCGGCGTCGGGTGAAAAATGGGATCGCAGAGAAGAAGAGAGATGAAAGAAAAGCGCAAAGGAGGGGAAAGAAAAATAGAAGAAATTTGAGAAACGCGTTTCTTTGGGACTAAATGGAACGTGCGGATTTTTCGTCGAATAAAAGGATGTTAATAAAAGCTGAAAGGGAACGGAATGGCTGTCCGCGAATTCGGTTTGAACTTTGAAGTCGTTCGGTTCGCTTTTAAGTGGACACTTCGAAGGGACAAAGGATCGCTTTTAACAGGATTTGCCGAGAGATGGCTAGATATTATCGATCGGTAGGTTAATGGACTTTTAATTGACGAGTTTGATTTTCCGCTACAGCGGATCTAGGCTACGGTGGTAGGTACCACGGCTTTTAAGAACGACGGTTGTTATTCCGGAGTGCACGTGTCGCGGACGAAAATAGCGTTACAGATTCCGGGACATAATTCCTGGTTGTATATTATTCCGCCGAATAAAGTCGTTTTCCCGTGTAATTCGAGCGTGGACGGTTGTTTCATCTCTACACAGGTTAAGCCGCGTATTTTCGAATCGCGATAATTGTTGCGCAAGTTGGACAACGAAACGCCGCAAATCTCGGCCGGCACACACGGACCGCTTCATTCGCCAAATTACGGTAACTATATCGGTTCCCTTTCTCCGAGGTTCAACTCAATTTCGTTATAACAAAGGGAAGCAGGATTAAAACGTAACTCGGGCGCGCCTGTAATCTGAATAATAGAATCTTCGGATAATGGAAACCGTCGCTTTAAATATAAATTGCCAGACATGTGGGACACGTTTATTTTAGATTTCTCCACGATTTACTCGAATTTGACAACCAGGCGTTGTGCTAAATTCAAGAAAGAAACGTAGAACGTCTATTTATAATTAAACAATTTAAACGAAATGTTCACCGTACTCACGCCTAGCTAATATCCGTTTTCGGACGCAGACGTATTCAAAATAATTATCGAATCGATCCTTACCAAGAAACATCTAGTCAACACCCAATCTAGAAAAACGATTCCCAACTTTTCTCGAACAATTTCCGCGCACGATCTCACATGTTAGTCCACTATCCACAGAAACGGGGTCACAAATTAATCACTACTCTCGAATAATAACCGCGATTCACAAAGGGGCTTCTCCAACTTTCGAGCACTAACAGCGCGCGGAACACTTCTCTCTGGCACTTTGTTCTAAGAATTCGCTCGCGCCGCAATTAATCCATTGGAAATGTCAGCAGGCCGTTCACGGGGGGCGCACTTTTAGCAGGAGCCGCGGGATACCCGAAACAGGAAACACCCCCGAATCGGGGCACCCGAGGAGAGATCGTTCGCTGGGATCGTTCAACGAGCCGTAACTGTGTCCGCCGGGATTTGTGATTTTACAGCGGCTCCCGTGTTCGCTGCACTCTTCGAGTGTCTGCAGTATTTATAAAACACCGACCGGAAAGCGCGACTGGCGAGCTGATTTTGGCGCCGAGCCGGCTTGGCCGCGCGCTGACGCCCCGACGCGGACGTCGCCGTCGCGGACGGATCGCTTCGTCGGCCCGTCGGAATAGGTGAACAGCGACGGCCGCGTGTTTCGTGTCGGTACGCGTACCCGACGGCGGTGGCTCGCATTTTTCCACGGAACCACGTGGCAAACGTGGCCGGCAGAAGCGGTTCCCATGGTTCCGGGAAATTTATTCGTCTGCGCCGCGACGCGACCGGCATCATCGCGTATTTTATGGGAACGATGAGTAATTCGCGGGTTATTTTCACTCGAACAACCGGGGCTTGCGGGAATAATGGGGCTGGCATGGCTCGCGAAGGTGAAGACAAAGGGAAATGAATCTTTTTCGTTCGCCTCCTTGGCCGCCATTTTCCGACTGTGATCCGCGGTGATTTATCCGAGGAAATTAGAATTATGGAAGTCGTTTATCTGCAACGTCCGACCTGATGGTTTTATTTATTCATGGCATTCGTGACTGTCTGAGATTCAGTTTTCTAGGTTTAGTGGGAAACGAAGTCGTTAACAGGAGAAATGAATGTTTCGTTTATATTTTTCTTCTTGGAACGAAATGCATTGATTTCTTGAGTTATTTCCTTAAGCGCGTGAAATCTCATGTGATTCAGCTGATTGAAATTCTATAGCATACCAGTCGCGATCGTATTTATCGCATTAGTGGTTTAGTGATCTTGGTGGGAGCAGTCTGACTCGTGAAAATATTTGGGCCAATTGCGTGGCGTACGTGGAATTTGTCTAGCCCAATTTCGGTGAATCTATAGAGTCATGCGATTTGTCATTGAGTAAGAATACATTTATTGCAATCTGAGAAATATCTCGATACTGTTTATTATTGTGTAGGATGTATACCATTAAATTTGTATTTATTTTATTTCTTAAGTAATTGATAGAATAACAGAATCCTCGATTAATACAAATGTCTAAATAATGCTTAAAGAATTAATATAATTAATAATAGTACAATATTCAAAATTCTTCAGCGATCCAAGCTTCCTGTACGCTACGGTCCTCTATCGAGGCTTGGTTCAACAGTTCCCTCAGTCTTGTCTCGGAAACAGCTCGGTCGATAACTCTGCGGTTTCTTCCGTCGCATCTGATGGTCTCTATTTTAGCTGTTTATAAAGATAAGGAATAAACATAATTAATACAACATGTAGCATAGCAATAAAAATACTGCAAATATACCAACAGTAACAATATGAATTGTCGTAACGACAAATAAACTAGAAGAGACATTTATCTTCTCGTATAAATTTTCGTACAATAGAACTCTATTTCACTGAATGTAAATCCTACCAGATATACCTACTACTGACCGATGCAACGAGACTGTTACGTCATTATCCTTAAAATTACATAATATAAAAGAAACAGGCATGCCAAAAATTGTTGCTGTCATTCGACCTAACCGAAGCTTCTGCCCAATTAATTTATCTCCATTACAAACCATTAAAAACAAACAAATCAATCCATTCACTTGAAAACCCACCTCAAACCCCTCACCGTGATATTTCTTTTCCCAACCACTTTCTCAATTACATAATCCACCCCGCAAACTCAACATCCTATATCCCGCCAACCAGAACAATTCCATTGAACAAACAACACAAAACACAAGTGTAAGCCCCGCACCGCATTCCGCTCGATTCGAATTCCCCGCGGCGTCGAACGGGGCCGGCAGATTCCGCGCACGGCGCCGCAGATGGCGGCACGGTGACGGTGCAGACGCGACGCACGTCGCTCGGTGTGTCCGGTCCGTTCGTGTTTCCCCAGCTTTCTCGTGTCACGGTGTCGCGAGCGCGTCTCTCCGTTGACGCTCGCGGTCCGCGGTTCGGTTTTTATCTAATCGGCCGTGGGTGAATACGTTTCGGGCGAGCGTGTGTTCGAACAGCAGCGCACCGTTCTCGGTCACGAGCGTGCGTGGCCTGTGGCTGTGCGCGAGAATCGGAACGGTCGGTCGGGTGTCCCGGGTCCGTCCGTCCGTCGAACGAGGAGCAAAGAAGAGACAGAGGCGAGCCGCGGGGTTCTTCGGGCTAGGTGTGCGAGGGACGACGAGCCGCGCGAACAGACTAGAGTGAGACGGAACGTCGAGTGCGCGACGACGACGACGACGACGACGACAAGCGGGGTGAGGTTAGAGGCGAGGGCGGAGAGCGTGTCGGACGAGGATAGCGTGTCGGCGCGATAGAGAGCGAGAGGGGGGACTAGAGGAACGGAACAGGAGCGAGAAGAGGCTAGAAGTGTGTCGGGGCAGTTCGTCGAGGAAGGAGCAGAAATCTCTTCCTTTTCCTCGCCGTGTGGATCGAACGGGGGTTGCTGTGGGTGGGTGGGGTGCCGAAAAAGGGAGGAACGTGCGGAGGAGAAGCAGCCTCGGTAAAGGGAACAGGCGAATAATATCGGCGGACGGCGGAAAGGGTGCACGGGTGCCGCGGTGTCTCTCTAACCAAAGGAGACGGAGAGAGGGAGAGAGCAGCGCACCGTGTCGACGAACGCCAGTGCGAGACAGAGACAGTGCGGTGCCGTGTAAACATACATCCTCGTTGCCCGTGAGTGCGTGCGCGAGAGTGGCGATCATCAACGGCGGCCCGACGACGACGTTCGTCGGCCGTGCAGATTTCGTTGGCCGCGTTCACGCGTCCCGTATATCGACGGACTCCCGGCTGACGTATCGGTGCGTCGCGGGGACGGAGGAGGAAGTCGGACCCGACACGAACGAGAAAAATCGGCCGAGCAACGGTCCCCCAGTCGCCGTGGCATCAATCGTCCCCGGCATTCGGGCACGCGTACGAAACCTCTCGTCACAAATGACAGTCGATCGGACGGGAGGGATAGTCAGCTGCTCGCTGGATTCAACTGTCTAGCGGGTTAACCGGTACGTAAAAATCCCCTGTACCGATGCGAGCAACCAGTACGCTCTGTCAGTGGACTCTCCTGTAAAAATGGCTCCTGACGTTTCTCTTCCTGTCTTCTTTGTGTATCATCCACTCCCACTCGGTCCGTCTCGCTCCCTCTCGCTCTGACCCCCGCCTCTCGCCGATCTGCCGTCTCTCTCTTTCATTCTCTCCGTGCCTTGCGGTATTCCTGCACCGTAAATCGACCGTTGAGTTTTCTCGGAGCTGGGGAAAATTTAGGGGAAAACTTTGTGGACAGCAGTCCGGACGTTACGTCCTGTGTAATTTCGATGAAGGAATGTTTTAATTTCGAGCGCCAGTTGAAATATTTCAGTTTTGCAGTTTGGACCTGGACTTAACGATTTCTTGGTTGGGTCAGTTGATTATTGCAAAGTTAAAGGATGACGCTCATGTAAACAATATTAAATCAATTCAACAAACTTAAACGCAGATATATCTTTCGAATAAAATACTGTTTTTAAAATTACTATATAAAGTATAGTATATAAAGTATATAAAAATTACTACAAAAGTGAATTGCTACAAACTAAAGAACCTACTGTTTAAAAACATTTTACCCAGCTTCGACTGCAGGCAGATTTACTATTAACATTTTCTGTCCCAACTGTGTCCGTCTCTCGTTCTTCTTCTTTTTCCAGGTGGTACTGTATACATGTGGGTATGTGTGTGTGCACGCTCGAGGTCTGTCGGAATTTTTAGTTAGCGACGCGCGTGCCGCTGACAGGTCTTTAACTATCGACGGATACGTGATTCGTTTATAAACATTCGCGACCTACCCCTCGCGATTCGACGCGATAAAATGGGTACCGTATCCAGACCGGAGCGCGTGCCGTTCCGGACACCCGTTACATGGCGAGGAAAGATCCTCCTGGCGTTCCTGCAAGACCGTTTCCGCCATATTTACTTCTTGCGGGTACATAACCTGACACGACCTTGAACACGACTACTAGGCGATAGACAAATAGACGAGCGAACTTTCCCAGGACTGAAGATTCTCTCACGACTCGTAGATCGGAATTGTGACGAGTCACCTGACATCATTAATTTATGCGAAACGAGCCGTTGCCGATGAGAAAAAGAACAAGCCCGACGAGGAAAGAGAATGGAGGAAGAGGAAGGAAGAAACGCTGGGAAAAAATGGCGCTATCAGCTCGCGTGTAAATGTAGCGCATTACGGATCGCAATTAGCAAGTATCGGGGCACGTGGCGCAGGAATTTTCATTCGGGTCACCGGTTGTTTTACTCTTTTTCCCCCTTAGTAATTATGGTAAAAGTGTTTCGAAGCAAATGGACGCGGCGAGCTGCGCAGCGGCGTGTGTATCGGTGAAAATATTCATTCCAGCGGCGAGCCTCGGAAACTAGCACAAAGTTGCTGGCCAACGGCGACGTATCGAAAAACGCATGCCCAACCTCTTTTACCGGTGGCTGCGCGGTTGAAATATGCCCCCCCGAATGGCGCAATTACTTCGCTTTATCGTTCACTCCAATTCATTGTCATCGAAGCCCAGGAATGTTTTTATTTACGGGCCCCGCAAGAACCGCGGTTCCGTTCGCGAGCGCACGAATGAAACGCGGCGCAGCGTTGCAACAGTCGACGCGGAAGCGGATGCAAATGCTGGCGCAAAGATGCGATTCCGTGTCCGAATGATTAAGCGTCAAAGTTCGCCGCGATGGTCGCGGACTTGCGAAAGAGGAGAAACGTTTCAGTGTGAAGGTCGCGAAAGGACTGGTTCCCCGGCGAACGTGTTATAAAATATTCCAATTTTGGTCTCCTGCATGGATAATTAATTGCATTAATATTTAACGGGATGCAGAAACCGGTTCTCCGCTCGCGGAGACCCGATTAACCGAAACCGATTCGGTCCGGCAGTAAGCACGCATTCATAATTAATTGAAATACTTCAAGCACAAGGCAAGAGCGACGAGCAAAGTCATCGTTTTGGCCCAACACAGCCGTTCGACCAACTTTCATTCCATTTCCTTATATATGCATACGCATCGACCGAAGAATAGTCCATTGAAAAAGTCTCCGTTATTTATTCCCTCGGCCAACCCGGCTCTGAGAAGAAATTACAATATAATGAAGAAACATCGGGTGAACCGTTCGACCGGAAATGCAAGACACGGCGGGCAGTGGGCCGGTCCGCGGCAAGGGAAACAAAAGAAGAAAAGGGGCCCCCGATATTTCGATTGGCAGGTTAACGAACCACTGGGATGTTAATGTCTCGTTACATCACGTTCGTTTACCGACGCCGGAGAAAGGGGTCAAAGTGGCGGAAGGGACGGGAGGCGGCGGACAAGGCGCAGGAAAAGAGTGGCGGGACGACTAAAAATGGCGTGTGCCACGGCGCACCATCGTCTCACGGATACAGATTACAGCGTCGCCGCCTCGGACGTCCTTGTTCCTCCCTCCGACCCCCTTCCGTGCGCGTTTCGCGCTCCGGACATCGCTCGTGGAATGCACGCGTGCACTTGGTCGCGTTGCATCCGCGGGATTCCGAGGTCGTTCTCGAACGTCGCCGGAAAAACGTCTCTAATCGCTGGTAACCTCTCGTGGTTCACTGGCGCAAGTGTGCCAGTGACGTCCAGAGATCACGGGGAAAAGAAAACTGTGATCGGTGACATCATGAATGAACACCGATAACACTGGTACCCCAGTATGTTATCTATAGCCACGAATTTTTTTAAGATAGAGGCTGGCCGACTGATCTATCTCTAGCTCCAATTAACCATGCTCGCTGGCAGAAAAATGCTACTCGCGGAATGACGGCTTGATAGGGGTTAATTATTTCGTGGCACGAGGACCAAGCGAGAGAACTCTGTGGTCTTTGTGTTTATCGACCGCGCGTACCTGCAGAGTTTCCCCGCACGGCACGCCCGCGGTCTTCCGTGTGTCGAAGCCTCGAGGAATCTTCTGGTAACGGTACGCGGCCGCTACCTGTTACGCACCCGTGCTGGTGCGTTTACATTACGCATTACCATAGGTTATCGCCTCTGAAATCGAGGACTTCACGGAACCCCGTGCGTACGCTAGGCCCCGTTCCCTTTTCCCCTTTCATGCGCTCCGGGAACAACGGTCCCGCGAAATGCCATTGCGCAACGCTCGCCTCTTTCTACTTTCTTTCCGTTTCTTTTTCTTTTTAACTTCCACGCTGAAAGGCAGGGCTGTATTATCCAGCAGGCACCTTGGGCGCGGAGCCTGTGGTGAATCTAGGGTGCAGGAATAAGGTTTGATGCGTGGGGAATGATCGTAGGGCCTGATCTTGGAGTATAAATGAAATTTTACTTACTGACGTTTTTGAGAATGTGATAGATTGTAGGACTGAAGATTTTGTTAAGGTTTATAATAGGAGTAATTAGAAAAGTCCTTAGGGAAGTTTGAGTACTGGAAATAAAGGAAATAGCACTAAACGCTTTGGTGGTATGCAATAAGTACAGGAGTGGGTGAGACCATCATAATGCTCGGTTAATAGAAAATGTCTGGTGTACAGGTGTACAGGATGTCCTATAATTGGAGAGCTAGCCTAGTAGGTAATAATAGATGTACCAATGAGTGTACGAGTTCAGTGTTCCTTTTATTATAGTGAGGGCAATATGTGCCAGTTAACGTGTTGTTTGATGTTCAAGAAATAGTCGGGAAAGTAATTTAGCTGCGAAGGTAGAGTAAAGATGACGGAATCTTTCAGTGCAGTTTAATGAAGTGTGGAAGAAAGTTTTGATTACACTTCCACGTTGCTCTGAATGTTACCCCCACGTGGACACGCAGCGTAGCTGTATTTTTCAGCAGCATTGAAAGCGTTGCGTACAGCGACTCGTAAGCTGCGAAGAAATCGCGTCGGTTAACAAGAAATAAACCACAGTAATTACGAGTCCCAGTATCTCTTGTGATCGAATACGAGATCGAAACGAACGTGTTTCAGTCGCACGAACGCCAATATTCGTGTTAAATATTCGCATTCCGAAGTTTCTCTGTGCTGTACACGGTGATCAGAAAAGCATCAATGCATTCCTCTGTGAACATAGCGCAGCATAATGCTTTTCAGCTCCAGTACCGCTGCAAAGATGCATAGCTACGTTCCAATTTTTGATCGGTGGAACGTTTCTCGTTGCACTCCACCAAAAGAGGAATCTGGCGCTTTTACTGTATTTCTGATGGGTCGAAGAAATATTATTCTTGGCTGTGTACCCGATATTATATGGGACGACTGATTTTGGATTCATTTTCATCTCGAGAAAATGGACTCTTAAACTCGTTGAACAGCGCTTTATAGTCATTGTTAGTATCTAGTACCAACCCCACAATATAGACAGCAAAAGAAAAGCTACATTCAAAACTCCGATAATATTCTTTATCAATCAAGAATTCTTCGAACCCTGTGTCTCAACCGACACACCTTCATTTACCAAAGATTAATTTCCCGAAAACGTGATCACCATCCCCGGGACATCACGACCGTGGCGACGTTTGACGAAAGTACCTGCGTTTTCACGCCATAGGGGATATCCATAAAACCGAAACGCATGCTTAATACGGTGTCCGCGTCCGTATCCAGCGCCGCACACCAGCATCCGCCGTTAACGGTCGTTCCGACCTCGCGGGCCGACAATAAAACGGTCGAACGGTCATAAAAACGGACGAGCTCCGCGTTACCGAAAGCGCCGTCGCCTCGTCGACGATAATCCGCGCGTAATATCGCGTTTACATAAACCGCGACACGGTATTCCGTTTCCCGTGGACGTGGCCAACCTGTTTTTCCCCGTCTATCGTTTCGCGGCGATCGACGCACAGCGAGTGTAACGATCGCAGCGTTATCTCGCCGCGCGATACGCGATCGCCGATAAAATCCTGGAGAACGACGCGGAAAAAACGCGGTGGACAGGGACACGGGATGCTCTGACAATTAATTCATTCCATGAGCCGAAACGGCCGGCCAGCGCATCCCGTTTGTCCCGGTCGTTC